TACAGGATTAACTAATTTTGAAAGTATTTTCTCATTATTATCAGTAGGAAGTATTGATAATTTAACAGAAGGATTAGGTCCTTGTATTATTGGATTTTCTATTTTAGTTATTGGTTTCTTATTCAAAATTGCAGCCGCTCCATTCCATAATTGGGCACCTGATGTTTATGATGGTACACCAACTATTGTAACAACATGGTTAACAATTATTCCAAAAATTGCGATTTTAGTATTTTTATTATCATTACAAAGAGGATTAGAATTTAATGGTTCATCATTAACATTAGTATTTGATGGTGTGTCTTTTGATGTATGGAAAAATTTATTATTAATTTCTTCACTATTATCTCTAATTATTGGAACTGTTGTAGGGTTAGCACAATACCGAATTAAACGACTATTTGCCTATAGTGCAATTTCACATGTTGGGTTCTTATTATTAGCTTTAGCTATTAATAGTGAAGAATCTATTGAGTCATTTGTTTTTTATTTAGTGCAGTACACTATTACTAATTTAAATGCTTTCTTAGTTTTATTAGCGTATGGATATATGATCTGTTTATCTAAAAAATCTTCAGACATTGTATTTATTGATGATCTTAAAGGACAGTTTAAATCTAATCCATTATTAGGATTAGCTTTTACAGTTAGTTTATTCTCTATGGCAGGTGTACCTCCATTAATTGGTTTCTTCGGAAAACAAATGGTATTATATTCAGCTACACATAGAGGATACTATTTCTTATCATTTGTAGCAATTATTGTATCAGTAATTAGTGCTTCATATTATTTAAAAATTATTCGAGTAATTCATTTTGAATCAGGTAATACAGATAATAAAGATATTACACATTCATCAGAATTAAAATTAACTAATGTACATAGTTTTACTATTGCTACATTAACAATGGTTATTACATTATATGTATTTAAACCATCTTTAATCTTAAATAGCGCAACACTTCTAGCTTTAACTTTATTTAACTTCTAATGAATTCATTAAAAATGATGTTTATTGTTGTACCTATTTTAGTAGGTATTTTATTAGTATTGAATGTATTATTAGCGGCACATCGGCCAGATTCTGAAAAAGTAACAGCGTATGAATGTGGTTTTTCACCTATTTATGGGCAAACTCGGTCACCTTTTAGTATTCAATACTATTTAGTAGGTATTCTTTTCCTAGTATTCGATTTAGAAATTTTACTTATGTATCCTCTATCAGTTACTTTATACAATGTTTCAACTTATGGATTCTGGGTAGCTATTATTTTCTTTACTGTGTTAACCTTAGGTTTTGTATATGAAATCGGATCTGGTGCATTATATTTTACAGATCAACGATCAGCTATTAATAAACGAACAATTCAATTACCTAAAGCACCCCGATTATTCTAATTTTTATTTACTTACGAAATGTAATAAAAGTTTATTCTTTAATATATAAGAATGAATATTCTTGTATATTAAAGATTTAAAGTTATTAATTTTATTATAAAATTAATTTTGTATTTAGTGAAGTATTATAAATAACAGTAAAATATGCTTTCGGGATAAATAGTAGAATAGTTAATTAAAAGAGAGAGTAAGGGAATATTTCTATGTATTATAAAAAAAAAATTAAGTCATCTGTATTAGTATAAGGGAAATATAAGGATTAATAGCCAAGTCTGGTTTAAGGCGTTGTATTTGAACTACAATAATGTTTAAAAGCATTCAGGGGTTCGAATCCCTTTTAATCCGTGAATATAGTTAAAAGAGAATAAATAGAACAATGTTAATATTATTAACATAAAATAAGACGAAAGTTGAAGCTTTTAAAATTAATATAAATATATTAGAAAAAAGAAAAGTTAATAGAAGTATTTGGTTATGGTACTTCCGATTGGGTATCTAGGTGTATAACACATGCGAGTTTTATGGTTAAATAGTTAATCATGGCGTACAGGTCAGTATTTTCAAGAAAAAGATCAAAGAGTTCATATAGATAATGAATGAAGAAAAGGAACAAATTCCGCTCTTAGTTTTGCTTGATTCTTATTAGGTAGTTGGAGAGGTAAAGCTTAACAAGCCTATGATGGGAAAAATTAGATGGAAGTCTTAAATTTGACATTGGAAATGAAAAAGTCCAAAGCATCATCACGATGCGCAGCAGTGAAGAATCTTGGTCAATGCACAAAAGTGTGAACCAGTGACCTAGGTTCGATTATCTACTAATAACGGGTAGGTATCGATAATATTTTTAAATTATGATTAAAAATTATATAAGTCCTGTCCAATATCCGTGCCAGCAGAAGCGGCTATACGGAAGGGGCAACCCATGGGAGCATATAGACGGTGTAAAGGGTACGTAGCCGGTTCACATTTAGTTGGACTAGAATTTGATGGAAGTAACAAAAATACCTAGAGTAGAGATGATATGTGTTTATACTAGGGGGAATGCATGAAGCGAAGGCATGTTACTATGTAAAATTGACAGTAAGGTACGAAAGTTAGGGTATAGAAAGAGATTCGAGACCTCATTATTCCTAACCGTAAACGATGCAAATTAAAGATTAGTTTTTTTAGACAAGTCTTGTATTTAACGACTTAATTTTGCCACCTGTAAAGTACGGCCGCATGGCTAAAATATTAATAACTAGACGGCTTTAAGGCAAACGGAGTGGAACATGTTATTTAATTCGTAAACACGCGAAAAATCTTACCACATCTTGCATTTTTAATAAAAAATTATATTATTTATAATAGTATAACATACTTAAATGTATATTAATAACAGGTATTGCATGGTTGTCCTCAGTTAGTGCTGGTAAAGCGTAAGGTTAATTCCATATAATAATGTGGTTAAATACTAAACTAACGCGATCCTCACTGTTAATTAAATCTTAACAGTATTATTTTGATTAAAAAATGATTTTAGAGGGGGCTATGACAAATCATTATGATCCTTAGGGTGTGGGCTATCGACGTGTTACAAGAATATTAACAGAGTGATGCAATATTGAAAAATGGAGCTAAACATCAAATAATATTAATGTGCTAATTGTAAGCTGGAACTCGCTTACATGAAGCTGGAATTTCGAGTAATCGCGAATCACTACGTCGCGGTGAAGTCAAATCCTTAAAGTGTACTAACTGCTCATCACGGGCTGAGAGAATCGCTGGGGGGTTGTAATGTCGACATATATTACTAAAGTTTAAGCATTATGCATCTCAAAAATTTTAAGTATTGAAAATTTTGAAATGTGATATATATAAATTTGACGTGCGAACCTTGGGAATTTATCGTCTCGAAGTTGAAACAGGGTAGTCCTAGGGGAACCTGGGGCTGACAATTGACAAAAATTAATCCCCGAGAAATAATATTATTAAAATAGTAACAATAGGATTATAAAAAATAAATAGCTAGATATATGATATTTATTAATAAATTAGTAAAATATATTATATTAGGTAATAAATAGGAAATAAATAATAAAATTTATAAAAATAAAGTGAAGATATTTATATTTTATATACTAATGATAAGATAAGGCGGCGTGAGTCGAATATCCTAAAAAATTAAAGATAATTTTTTTATGTGATAAGTTAGTCAATATATCTATTATAAATATAATGAAATTTTATGTACAATCTCCTTTAGAACAATTCGAAGTTCTACCTTTTATTAGCGTTAAAGCACCTATTCTAGGTGATTTTAACTTATCTTTAACAAACTTAGGTTTTTACTGTATTATTGTAGTATCCTTAATCCTAGGATTACATATTGTTGCTAACAACTCGTTTAAATTAATTCCTAGCAAATGGTCAGTAGCCTTAGAAAGTTCTTATGCATCAGTACAAGGTATGGTACGAGATCAAATTGGAGCAAATAATGAAATCTATACACCTTTTATTTATTCATTATTCTTCTTTATTCTTTTTGCTAACTTAAATGGTAACATTCCTTACGGATTTACTGTAACAACATCTATTATGGTTTCACTAGGATTATCAGTTATGGTTTTCATTGGTGTTACAACATTAGGTCTACAAATCCATGGAATTCACTTCTTCTCATTCTTCATTCCTTCTGGTACACCTTTAGTACTAGTTCCTATGTTAGTATTAATTGAACTTATTTCATATATTGCTCGAGCTGCTTCTCTAGGAGTTCGGTTATTCAGAAATATGGTTGCAGGACACACTTTACTAAAAATTCTATCAACATTCTTATACAAATTATTTACAAGTAGTATTGTAGTTAGAGTGTTAACTCTAATTCCATTCGCTATTTTCGTAGCTCTGATTGGTTTAGAATTAGCAGTTTCAGTAATTCAAGCTTATGTGTTCTGTGTACTAACATGTTCTTACATTAAAGATGCAATTAATCTACATTAATATACTTTATTTTAGTATATCTTAATAGTACTGAGTACCTGAAAGGCTGAAATAAAATACAGAGTTGTAGAGGGCCATATAGAGGTAAATAATCCCCGAATTTTACATTATTTTTCTACCGGATAGGTATTTGATATGGAAATATGAAAAGGCAGAGACTATTTATTCTACTGTATTATCAAAATAGAACATGTGTTCTGAGGGTCCCATCCATAAGTTGTAATAAACCCAGATGAAAGTAGTGATGATAGAATATTAACTAGAAAGTATAGAGAATGGGTTGGATGGGCGGAGGAAAGAGTAGAGCTCATCTAAATAACAATTTATATAACATTATAACACTTATTTTTATGTAGTTAAGAGAAATCCTTCTCCTGTATGATATTGAAAGAATAATTAATACTAATAATCACACTAAAAGAAACTAACAATATTTTGGATTTTTAAATATATTGAAAAAATATTATTAATTGTCAAATAAAAAAAATATTTTTAATTTATTTTAATATAAAAATAAGAAATCTTAAAGATAGAGAGCTCCTTAATAAATTCCCTAATTTATGGGTCTCTATTTCTTTATATGATAAAGGGGAAGAGGGAAGGTATAAAAATAATAAACAACAAATATGTCGGAATTGGTAGACGAGGCTCACTTAGGATGAGTTGCTATTTAATAGCTTAAGGGTTCAAGTCCCTTTATTTGTATATAAGATCTTGTGAATATCTTATTATGATCTTAAAGTATTAAAAGATTAATTAAATAAAGAGCCAGGTATTTAATAATATAAGGGATTTCTTGTTTTACGAATTTTATTAAGGATATATATTTAAAAATGCAGGATCATTGTCCTTTATAAAATAAGAAATAAGTATTACAAGATTTTTAATTAAAAGAAGGTAAGCACATTAATATTATATTTAATCAGCTAATTTTTATTTCACTTATAAACCTCAATTTAAGAGAAAAGATAAAAATTTTAAGTGTAACAACACCTTTAACTTAATGGTAGAGTTGCTGTCTTCGAAACAGTCGGTATTGGTTCGATTCCAATAAGGTGTCTTAATTAAGCTATATGTTTATAGTGTTTAAATTAATTAAGTATGTCTGTTGATAAAATAGTTTTTTTTATATGGTAGGCTGACTGACTTCGATTAAGATTAATAATTATATAAAAGAAAGAGTACAATAACGGGTATAATATAGCGGTCATTATTTCCGACTTCCACTCGGAAAACACCGGTTCGAGTCCGGTTGCCCGTAAGATCTATATATATATATTTTTTTTTTTTAGTTACAAACGTAAAGATTAGTTATTGAGCGATATTGTATATGATTTATTCTAATATAAAAACTATAAAAATTATAGAAAATTTTATATATATGTATTAATTTAGATAAGGTAAAATAATTTAATAGAGTAAAAAAAAAATAGTAAATAATAAGCGAGAGTATAATAGAGTCTTTTTGTTATTTAATGAAATTTTCTAGTTATCTTAAATGTATGTTGAAAAGATAAAAGGATTTCCAGCATTTAAGATAAATTAATAAAGTAATAAAAACTAACTAGTATAATAAAATAAAAGGTAAGACTAATTTAGTGGCAGAATGCTTCATTGTGGTTGAAGATGGCACAGTTCGATTCTGTGGTTTTACCCAATATTAGGAACTCAAAATACTATAGTAAAAAATAGGAGGAAGTAGTAAATTATAATTTTATTTAATAAGTATAGTATGTAGTAAATTATTATATTTTTGATTAAAATAAGCAGGGGTAGTATATTTGGTTAGTACATTCCTTTCATAATGGAAAAAAATGGGTTCAATTCCCGTCTCTTGCTAAATTTTTGTAATATGGTTTAATTATTTTTGGCAGGATTTTAATAAAGATCTATTTATTAGTATAAGTTTTTCAAAATGTCGAATAAATAGTATTAGGAGAGATACCCCTAATTGGTAAGGGAGTTGACTGTAAATCAATCAGGCATATGCCTACTACAGGTTCGAGTCCTGTTCTCTTCAGCGTCTGACATAAGTTATAAATATGAAGAAATAGCTTAAAGAAAGTATAGAAAAATGAGAATAAAAAAATAAATATAAATAAAGTTTATTTCTTTATATGGGAATAAAATAAAGACTAAGTCTAACATAATAGATAAAGAAAATATGATTTATAGATCAAATTTTCTAAGTTTATAAATATTTATTTTTATTCTTCTAAAAGCCTATCTGTTAGAGATAAAGGCTATAAATAGTACCATAAAACGGTTTAGGTAAATATATAATGATTGACATAAGTAGAGTATATAAGTATTAAGTTATAAGATTTTAAGTATTCTAAAGCTAGATCATATTATGATCAGGAAGGTTGGGAATTGATTGCAATGTATATATGACGAGAGTTATGGTAATGAGATAGAATAGTATTGTATTAGTATATTATTTAGTTATATGCTGATAATCCAAAATTAATTGGAAGGTTTACACCTATGTTGTGATTCATCGAAAAAAATAGATGAGGATTAGCTTATAAACAAAATCCCTTTTATAGAAGCCTTAAAGTCTTAAAACTAGTTTAACATGAGCCTGAAACATAAAAAATGAATGTCTATATCGACAATAATAGAAAAAGAAATGTTACTGAATCAATAATACATTATATTTGAGAGCGGAGTGTGTATTTTTCTATTATAAAAAAAATTTTTGATTATTGTTACTTTAAAGGCTCAAAATATAAACGGTTTGATCCCGTTTTCTGGTAACTTAATTATATAAGGCTATAAATATAAGTCTATTTTTTCAATTATTGTTTTATAGAAGGAAAAATAGTATAACCTATAAATAAATCCAATATAAAATCCTGTAAATAATTGGTTTAGATAGATATTTAGACACTTTAGATAGGTAACAAAAGATTCATATATATAAGAGATATATATATATAAAGTAAAATAGTTCAAAAGAATCTTATGTTAAAATTATTATATGGTTAATTTTATAAAAGAGTTAGAAATGACAATATTCTTATAATTATATAAAATAATTTTAGAATATGAATATTAATAATAACATGTTAGTGAAGTATAACGAAAAATTTTTTCCAGATTTAAATGTAATTTCTAACGGAAATTGTCATTTTTATAAAGGATCAGAAAGAGGTAATATTTCAATAGATAATTCTGTAGTAGAAAGAACTTTAATAATTAAAAATTTCTTCTCAGCAATTAAAGCTTTATCAAGTGTCCCAAAATATGTAATAGGAGTAGAAAAATTAAATATTTATGTATCATACTATAGAATGAAAAATAAAAAAAATCAAAATATCCGATATGCACTAAATCAAAATACTGTTAATAATTTAGGTGATTTATTAAGTAAAAAACTTAAACGAAAAGTAGAATTACGTTTTATTAATTTAAAAAGTCCATATTTAGATAGAACTATTAGAGCGGAATACATAGGAAAAAATGCAAGTATGCATCCTTTCAGTGGTTTAAGAAAAAATGCAATTAAACGAACAAAAATTAAAAAAATTATAAGACAATACAAAGGATCGGAAAGTAATTTACCTTCAGATATGATTGGGTTAAAAATTGTTTTTTCAGGACGATTAGTTACAGAACGACTACGACCACGAAAAACTGTTTCAACAGCTAAAATTGGATCTTTTACACGTAATAACCAATTATTAATAGAACATGGAAGTTACACTGGAAAAAATGCACGTGGTGCGTATACAGTTAAAGTATTAATTAATCATAAAAAAGGGAAAAATTATATTTAATCTTATATTCGCGGTAAATTGGGTCTACGGGATATAAGGTTAAATCTTAGAATCCTTAGTCAAAATAGAGTAGAGTTGAACTGATAATTTTGATAGAAATTAGAGAATAAAGGATAACAAACTAATCCCCGAGAGATATATGCATTAGTTATAAAATTTATTAACATAACTAAGAGATTATATAATAAACCCTTGTCTTACGAGCGAGAGCTGAAGGATCTGTTATCCAGGTGAGAGGGAATTAAATAATTGATTAGAGCGTATTAGGTAAATAAATATATAATATTATTTAATTCAAAAAAGTCCTGAATTAATTATGTTCTTTAAAGTAAAACTTTAGAGGAAGAAAAAATATACTCCATCTTTTATTATAATAGACGACAACTTAAATCACTCAATATATTTTAATCACTCAATAAGAATTAATAATTAAAGAGTATAATTGGTAATGGTTAATTAACTGTATTAAAAATACATAGGATAATAGTTTTGAGATCAAACTATTTTAAAAATATGTTATAAAATATGAGAAAAATAGGAGGAATAACCGATAAATTTAAATTGTAGTACTCTTTTTATGTAAAACCTATTATCGAGAATATGCCAGAATAGATTAGGAAATAGTTTGAGTGTTTGAATTTAGAGGATATATATCGTTATGTAACGATGGAACGGATTTTAATTTAGCCAAGAGTAATTAGGTAAGTTGTTGAAATGATAAAAATTCTTTGAAAAAGTATCAAGACAAGATAGCGGGAAAAAAGTGAAGAAGCTAGCTAAATTGAAATATTCTAAATAAGTTAAAGCAATACTACAAAAAGAAGTTGAATAATGTATAAATTTTTCAAGATAAACTAGTTTTAAATTTAATTAAAAGAGTAGAGTATAATTGTAAAAACAGCAATTAGAAATATTTTAAAAGTCATAGCATAAAAGTTTCGACAATAAATTAATTTTAAAAACATGTTACAAGCAGCAAAATACATTGGAGCTGGATTAGCAGCTATTGGATTAACAGGAGCCGGAATTGGAATTGGATCAGTATTCGCATCTCTAATTTCATCTACAGCTCGAAACCCTGCAATTCGAGGTCAACTATTCACATATGCTATTCTAGGGTTCGCTCTAGCAGAAGCAACAGGGCTATTCGCACTTATGGTTTCATTCCTAGTTCTTTACTCATAATTGATATAAGTATAGACCAATAATTCCTATAGTTATAGGGATAAAGGGTAACCCCCGACTAATATAATAATTAGTCATTAAATTTAGAATATATTAATTAAAAGAAAGATAGAATATGTAACAGACTGGTAATTCAACAGGTAGAATACTCGCTTTGGGTGTGAGAGGTTGCTGGTTCGAGTCCGGCTCGTCTGAATAAGAAATAAACATAAATAATAATATAAGTTAAATTTTATTATAAGATAACTCTATAAATCAATTTAAGGGGGGAATAAAGATTTACTTCTTCCCGTTTACTTCATTTAGTATTTTACCAGGTAAAGAGAATGGAGCTTGACAAGTAAATAGTGTGAGTGTAGCGTGATTTTTTGGAAAATTGTTTTACTATTATGTCTTCAGTACGAGGTCTGATTTGAGGTATCGAAGATAGTGAAGAGAGGAAAAAGTAAATATGTCCTTATAGCTTAATGGCAGAGCAGGATACTGTTAATATCAAGGCGAAAGTTCGATTCTTTCTTGGGACTTTATAATAAATAATTGAAATTATGTATTGCTAAGTATAGATTTTTCTATGTTAAGTGTAAAAAAGAAGAAATAATATAAATACTCAGTTTGTTTTCTTTTTCATCAGATGTCTGAGAATAGTACAAATTAAAAATTTGCCTCTAATTTGTTAAAATTATAGATATTATGGGCCTGTCTATGAATAAAATAATAGCACTGATCGTTAATATTCTAATTTAATTTTGGTAGAAGAGAAGAGGATAATAATAAAGGACTTTAGGCGGGATATATTAATTAAAAGCAATAATTATAATAAATAATTAGGGGGGGATATAATATAATGGTAGTATGTCATGTTTGCACCATGATTGTCAGAGTTCGATTCTCTGTGTCTCCAGTAATTCTATAAGATTTTTGTTGTATAAATTGGTTTTAGTATAAAAAAGGTCGAATGAAGAAATATCATATAAAAGAAAGAATACATATATCTATAAATATTTTTTCTTAGTATGAATAACATTATATATAGGCAAAGATATAAGATTAATATTTATTTTATCATAAGGTTATATCGTTCGATTTGAATAGTGGTGGAGTATAAATATTTAATAACTAATTAAGGAATAACTAATTATAGGAAATATAAGCCTCGATAGCTCACCTGGTAGAGCACAAAACTGAAGTTTTTGGGGAATTGGTTCAAGTCCAGTTCGAGGCAAAAAATAATTTTTTGATTTAGATTTAATAGCCTTCTCTTATTACATTCACTTTAATTTCTTCTCTGGAGGGTGGGTTTGATTATTTTAAAACTAGGGTTCTAGGGGCTGGAGATTGATAAATTTTATTGATTAACCTTATTACATGTGACTCAATTCAGAAAAAATAAGAGCTTTGAAATAAGGAGGGATTATATTTATAATTTTCTACTTTAACATAAAAATTATAAATATGATTAAAAGAATTTTTAGTTATAATATATAGCTATATTACATCTCACATAGGTTAATTTATATGTTAGAGGTATGTCAAAAGGTCAATATTGACTAATTAAAAGTGGTGGGGGGGATTATTTCTTAGTATTATTGATTATTTAACTTCTTAAAATTTTTAGTTTTTTTCTTTCTAGGCAGAGTTCAGATTTTATTTAAACCATCCGAATTTTAGTACTATATTTTTTAACAATTCTATAAATATAAAAAAAAAATAAGAAGGTCCGTAATATTTTTTATAAATTACAAATTTTATGAGGTTTAAAAACTTTTCTAAAATACCTCCCAAGCGAGATCGGAGATATGTGTAAGATAATCGAGCTAGAAAGGAGAGATTTAAATAAATATATTTAAAGACTTCAGGTATATTATTTCTTATTTTTCAAGATAATTTTCGTGAATAGCTAATATCAAATAAAGATTACTTAAATTATTCTTATACCTTATTTGATGGTACAGTACTTTTATAGGGTAACAAGAGGAAGAGGACATGATATTTTCCCTAAAAGAATTGTCGGGGATTAAGGTAAGTATTTATCTGTATAATCTATAGTATTTATATCCTATAAAAATATCTGTAATAATTAAATAAATAAAATATGGTATTTATATTTATAAACATTTACAGTATTTTTACGAAATTCTTGAATAAACATCCATCGCTGAATCTAGATCTTCTCTTAATTCATTTTTATATTTAATTAACGGGCGAATTTCTTGTCTCTTTTGAAACATTGTTAGATATGGATCTTGCTGGATGTAATAAATTACATTATTACTCATATAATAGCCAATTATAATAATGAACAGTAGCATATAAATAAATAGATCTAAGTACTTAATAGTTAAGTAATAGATTAATAGTTTAAAATTTTTCATTTTCATCATTGTTGCTGCTGCTAATTACTAAATTTTGTTGCTACTTCCTGTAGCAATATCCATTAATGTATTTTCAATTACTCCGATAACAGGTAATAGAATAACGAACCATCCAAAATAGATTGCTGTAGCGATCATACCAATTGTAATATATGGTTCTTCAGCGTGTTGTGAACCTAAATACATAAGTAAGAAGAAATCTGTAACGAATACCCAGAATGCGAATCGCATTAGAGGTCGGAATTGAGATCCTCGTACTCGAGCTGTATCTAAGATAGGCATAGCTAGAAGAATTAACAGAGATGCTAACATAGCAATAACTCCTAATAATTTATTAGGAATAGATCGTAGAATAGCATAATAAGGTAATAGATACCATTCAGGTACAATTGAAGGAGGTGTTTGCATAGGGTTAGCTGGAATGTAGTTATCTGAATGTCCCATTACATTAGGTAAGTAGAAAACAATAATAGCCATTGCAAGGAAGAATAAGAAAATAGTAATTAGATCTTTAAACATATAGTAAGGGTGCATTGGAATTCGATCTGAATTTGAGCTTACTCCTAATGGGTTACCACTTCCGTTTACGTGTAATGTCATAAGGTGTAGAATTGCTAATGCTGCAAGAATGAATGGAAGTAAGTAGTGAAGCGAGAAGAATCGATTTAGAGTTCTGTTGTTTACAGAGAATCCACCCCATACGAATTCTACGAAATCTCCCCCAATCCAAGGAATAGCAGATAACATATTAGTAATAACTGTTGCACCCCATAGTGACATTTGTCCGTAAGGTAATACATACAACTCCTCTATTTAAAACATATCTTTAAGATAAATCAGCATTTTAAATAGTTGTACCTAATCAACTTACCAATCCCAGATTTCTCTTTTCTGGTAAGCATCTCATTAGGCCTTGAAAATCTTAAGACTCAGGAGTCCGACTGTACATTAAGCACCATCTCAGGTACCCACGAGTGACCCAGTCTGTAGCGATCATATATATAACCGACGGTCTGAGGAGCTGATTGCTCATTTTAACCGTTTTCACTCGTATCGCCAAAGGAATTAGTTTTCCTTCAACACCCCTGTCAGGGTGTTCTACACCTCTTTCTCTATATAGATTCTAATTTGTATATTTACAAATAGAGGATATTAAGTAGGACTATGGTATGATTACGAAATTTTAATTAATCTATTACTTTAATATGCCATTCTTTTTTTACAATACCGTTTGTAGTTAAAGCAATAGATTCGTGGTTTTCGATAGTTAACCATTTTGGGCTATTAAATAAACCCAGGAATGCTGTTCCCATCATTAGCACAAGAATAATAACTCCAATTGACCATGGTAGAATTCGAGGAGATTTATATGAACCGTAGTACATACCTCGTGCAATGTGTAGGTAAACGAAAATGAAGAAGAATGATGCACCGTTAGCATGTAAGTATCGAATTAACCAACCATAGTTAACGTCTCGCATAATATGTTCTACTGAAATGAAAGCTAAGTCTACATTAGGTGTATAATGCATAGCTAGAATAATTCCTGTAACTAATTGTAGTCCCAGACATGTAGCTAATAATGAACCAAAGTTCCATAGGTAACTTAGGTTAGAAGGTTGTGGTGAATCCACAACGTAACTATTAACAATACTTAATAGTTTATCTGATTTTAATAATCGCATTTTAAAATTTAAAAATATTAATAAATATTAATATTTGGATATGTATTATCTTTCACATATATAAAAAAAGCTGTCTAACATGGTTACACAATAAAAAATAATTCCAAATTTATCCTTTTATTAGATATAGATAAATGATATTAGATTATCAAAATAAATTTATCTCCTATTAACTAATATTTCATTTGGAATAGTATTTAACGATACTATCGATAGATAAGCCCAAGAAGATTTGAACTTCTGCTACACCGATATCAACAGTGGGTACTAACCGATTATACTATAGGCTTTTGTTGCTTTTAATAATAAAATTAATATTAAAAGCAACAAGTAAGATTTGTGGAATAATAGAAGATAAGAGGAAAAATGATATAAAATTAAATACTAAAAGAGATAAAAATTTATCAATAATAAAAATTAGATATTAAAAGAGATAAAAAATAAATAAAAGGGGGATTGGATTAACGGTTATATCGCCATGCTTACACTATGGATACAGAGGTTCGACTCCTCTATCCCTTAAAAACCTGCATTTTTTAAGTAGAGGTCTAGTTATATATAGGATAAACCTCACTCTAATTTATGATTCTTTAATTATCGATCTGATAATTATATAAAGTAAAAATTATTGCCCTTCCTGAATAATAAGGTAGGGTTTACTCAAAATGAAAATAAGATTAGATACAATGATTTTCTATTCTCTGAAACGAGATACATCTAATTTTATTTTCACTGACTGCTTATCTTTTTTTTTAGAATATTTTTAAAGTAAAGACAAAAGTGTTAATAAAAATGTAAATATATTTGGGACCAAATATATAATAATAAGGATAAAATATTTTAATATAAAATGATAAATTTTATTTATAATAACTGTAAAAACACGGAGAACATTCAGTAAAAATAATTTTGATTATATAAGCTTCTAAAAATAATCCTATATAATAAATTAATAGTTAATTATTTTATGAGGGATTAAGGTAAATTAAAGTTATAACCATAGTGATTATAAGATAAAATTGCCTTATATTATAAAAATATCAAATATTATTATCATGATAAAGAAATTTAATTTAGATTATTATGGTATAGAACAGAATGAGATAAATATTGGGGATATGACCTGTATAATAAAAATTATTATGTTTAATTTATTATCATTAATTTTTAACCCTATTTGTTGTGACGCACCTGAACCATGGCAAATTGGATTTCAAGATGGAGCAACTCCTACATACGAAGGGATTACAGAATTACATAATTCTATTTTCTTCTATCTAGTAGTTGTTTTCATTGGTGTAACATGGGTAATTACTTCAGTTATTATGAACTTCAGCCACGATAAAAACCCTATTGCATACAAATATATGAACCATGGAACAGTAATTGAACTTGTGTGGACAATTACTCCAGCTTTTGTATTAATCGCAATTGCGTTCCCATCATTCAAACTACTTTATTTAATGGATGAAGTAATTTCACCATCTATGACAATTAAAGCAGTAGGTCATCAATGGTATTGGTCATACGAATACTCAGATTTCGTAAACGAAGATGGAGAATCAATTGAATTTGATTCATACATGATCCCTGATTCTGACTTAGAGGACGGACAACTACGATTATTAGACGTTGATAACCGAGTTGTTGTACCAGTAGATACACATATTCGATTCGTAGTAACAGGAGCTGACGTAATTCACGATTTTGCGGTACCTGCATTAGGTCTAAAAATTGATTGTACACCTGGTCGATTAAACCAAACATCAGTATTCATTCAACGAGAAGGAGTATTCTACGGACAATGTTCAGAACTTTGTGGAGTTTACCACGGATTCATGCCTATTGCAGTAGAAGCTGTTTCATTAGAAAACTACCTATCATGGTTAGACTCACAATCATAATAGTCTTTATTATACAGCTGAGAGCTCAATAATATTAATTATTTACTAATAATCTTTAATATTTCTGGCAATTACTGTATTTTTTTTTTTATGTAAAATAGATTTGATAAATCTCTGTCCTATATATTAAAAATTTTTCCCCGAAAGGAAGAAATATATAAGGAATTTCAAATCCGTTTTTATCCCCTCCGCTCTCTTCCTCTTGATTATCCTCCAGATATAGGACTGGAGTCAGGGCGTTTAATATTAAAAAGGAATATTACTGAATGTTGAACTATAAAAATGAATAAATGAATATTTTTTATAACCAAATATAAAAAATAACTATATTATATATATAAAGAAATGATAAAATGATATGATCCTTTTTAGAGTAGACAATTATTGGTAATTTATCCGAAAATTTAATTATTTAACTAGTATTTTATACATTATAGTATTCTTTTATTATATAAATTATATTAAGGTATATGAATAAAATAAAGGATATTATTCTTCAAACAAAATATTGTTTCGAATTGCAATGATAATATATTTTATGATTACAATGTCTAACAAAATATAAATTAAATTTCTTTCCTCAGTGTGTCCATGTGATGAGTTAATACTAAAAAGTCAAAGAAAAAAAAAAAACAGTTAGTCTAGTCATTTGGTATTGAGAGGAAAGATCAATTGTTAATAATTAATAATAATCTTTATGTTATTTACTATTAACTGTTTTTTCAAGGTATAAGTATAAATAATATAATATACGTATAACTCTATGAGACAAGTATTCAGCGCAGTTCGGTCATGGGAAAAGTTTTCTTTATTCGACATAATCTTTAATGAAGTGTTTAAATTAAATTTTTTTATATCTCAGAATATATTCTTCCTTATAAAATTTCCGATAAATGCCTAAAACTTTTTATGGCCTGTAATCCTTATAAACCTATTATAAACTACTTATACTGAATTACAGAATAACCCGGCTAAATAGTAGGATGCTAGAGGCAGGTGGGAATATTTTAATGATTAATTTTCTTCATACTTTGATACGTTTTTATTAAATATGAAAATACTAACAGATAGTATAAAATAATGAGATAAATGGAGAGATTATTTAATATTCAAAGAATATTAAATAATGTTATTTAAGGATTTGTTTTATGCATATGTTAATGTATTAATGGGAAGAAATTATTGACATGTACATATATTAGTTAATTATAATAAATATGGTCAATACTTTACTTGATTTACTGCAAGTATTGGTTGTACTAGTGCCTATTTTATTAGCTGTAGCGTTTATGACAGTTATTGAACGTAAAGTAATGGGTTCAATACAACGACGAGTTGGACCGAACAAAGTAGGATATTATGGAGTATTACAACCATTCGCAGATGCCTTAAAACTAGTAGTTAAAGAAACAGTAATTCCTGCTCATGCTACAAAAAGTCTTTTCTTTTTAGCTCCTGTAATTACTCTAGTTTTTAGATTATTAGGTTGGGCTGTTATTCCATTTGGTGCAGGATTAAGAATTTCAGATTTCTCATTAGGAATTCTTTATACATTAGCTATTTCATCTATTGGTATTTATGGAGTATTATTCGCTGGATGGGCAGCTAATAGTAAGTATGCCTTTTTAGGATCATTACGATCAACAGCTCAAATGATTTCGTATGAATTAGTTTTTAGTGCTTCGATTTTAACAGTTATCTTATTAGCAGGTACATTTAACTTCACAGCTATTATTGAAGCACAAGAATCTGTTTGGTTCATTGTGCCTCTTCTACCCCTATTCATTATTTTCTTCATTTCAGCTCTTGCTGAAACTAACCGAACACCTTTCGATCTTCCAGAAGCTGAATCAGAACTAGTTGCGGGATTCTTCACAGAACACTCTGGGATGATTTTCGTATTCTTCTTCTTAGGGGAATATACTAGTATTGTTCTAATGTCTTGTTTAACTAGAATTTTATTCCTTGGTGGTTATAACATGACTGAATTATTTACAAATGATACATTTATTAATCTTCAAAGTATTGTTCTAAGACTGAAAACATGTATTTTCATGTTTGTTTTCGTTTGGACGCGAGCTACTTTCCCTCGTCTGCGATATGATCAACTTATGACTTTCATGTGGACAGGAATGTTACCAGTAGCTATTGCGCTAGTAGTATTAGTTCCTTCAATCTTAGTAGCTTTTGATATTGCACCTTACTCCCCGGACATTGATATAATTAATGATAAAGGATAATCTTAAATATAAAAATATTGTAAATATTTTTAAGTTACATAATATAAATAGATTGCTTTAATACTTTAAAAAGAGAAGATGATATAAACTAAGTAATAATATTAATATAAGAATTATTAAAAGGAAAGAAAAGATATAATAATATATAATAAAAGAAGAGCAAGCATGATGAAATGGTAGCCATGCCTCCCTTAAGAGGAGGAGTCTTAAATGACGTGAGAGTTCAAGTCTCTCTGCTTGTAAAAATATTTTATGTTAACAAAATGTTTGTAGGAGTTTAAAGACAGTATAAATAAAATAAGTGTTATATGAAATAAATTAAAAAATTTCTAATAAGAGTAGTGCATTAATGCATATATATATCTTTATATTATTTAGTATTTATATAGACCTTAGAAATTTTTGGTATTTATATTTAGGTAATGGTTTAAAATTAATCTCTATAAATAACCAGATAACTATGTATATATCTATTTTTATTCTAGTATATATAGTAAAATGTTATTAAAAGTAGTAATCTAAACTATACATAAGTAATAATTATAGATACGAAAGATATCTGAAATATTAGATTATTTGGATTATGTTTGATTAAGGTTATATATATAAATGTGGGATAGTGTAATGGCAACACGTCAGTCTCATGAGCTGAAATTAAGGAGTTCAAATCCCTTTCCTGCATCCAGGTGCCATCGAATAATTGGTTAATTCACTTAGCCTTCACTTAAGGAACACCGGTTCGAATCCGGTTGGTGCTAAAATAGCTTATAGAATTGTTATATATTCTCGAATAAATAAATACTGTATTATAAATATTTATTCTAAGAGGTCTTATAAAATATAACTTTATAAGTGAAAGAAAATATATATAATATTAAACTGAATTATAATGAATATGTATAAATTTAAATACATAGAGTTGTTATATTTATGATAACCTGAATTTATTTATATAAATATTATTATTACCTGTATAAAATACTTAGAATAAGAAAGAATGATTATAAAAATAATAGAATAGGCCGGTATAGTTAAGTGGTATAACATAAATCTTGTAAATTTAAGTGATTGGTTCAATTCCGGTTACCGGTAGAAAAAAGAGTATTTGATCATGTATTAAAGAAAAGCAGTGGTCTAATTAAATTATTATGATTTATTAGGAGTGAGCTTAAGTATAGGGAATGATCTTGGTAGGATAGAATAGGAAATAATTTTATTCACCAAATTAATTTAATGATAAATAATGAACTATAGAGTAATTGGCAACTCGTCTCATTTTGGTTGAGAAGATTAATTGTTCGAATCAATTTAGTTCAGAGTATTATAATTAGAAAGTATGTTAAATATTTCTAAATGACTTTATTAAGGAGGGCATAACTCAGTGGTAGAGTAGCTGACTTTTAATCAGTCTGTCGTAGGTTCGAATCCTACTGTTCTTTATCATGTTAAAAATTATCTGATATGATAACGGGAAGGGTATGGTTGGGACTACCTATTTATCGCTTTTTTTAATAAAGCAGAAAAGAAGGTGGTAAAATTATTGTGTTTAGTTTTTTTATCTCTGTACTAGGAAAGGCATGCTATCGGTGAAGCGATTCAGTTGCTATCTGGACGAAGAAATTCTTATAGGTTCGACTCCTATTCTTTCCGTATATTTTCATTTACACTACTTTTAATTAATTAAAGACTTTAAAAGTATGATTAAATATGGTAATTTAAATGTAAGTAATCAAAGTGATTATTAAGGATGCCTAGCAAACATTTATTAAAGGACGACTTAAATGTTAGAATGTCGAAAAGCTGTAGATAATGGGTATAATCCCGATGAGATTATATCGGCGAGTTTAGTTATGATATAAAGTTATAACTTCTCGTTTCTTGAGGCGATCCTAAGGTAAACCGTAAAGTATAAACACAGTGAACTGAAACATCTAAGTAACTGTAGGAAAGGAAATCAACCGAGACTCCATAAGTAGTGGTGAGCGAAAGTGGAAATTAGCCATAATTTATTAATATTAGAATCGTTTGGAAAAAGGAATCCGTAGTAAGGTGAAAGCCCTGTATATATTAATAAATTAATACAATTGAAATAGGTAGAAGATAATCTGCTCGTATTGAAAAAGTAAAATTTTTTGTTTATATAAAAAAATTAGTGCTATAAAATAGTTCTAATTCTTTGTTTCGATTTATTAAATTTATTTAGTATAAGAAATCTATTAAATTATTTTTAATAATAAATAGTATATAATCAGGGGAACCATCCTCTAAGGCTAAGTATAAATGTTTAGCGATAGTGAAAAGTAACGTGAGTGAAAGGTGAAAGAGGCCGTTGTTGACTAAGGGGTGAAAATAGACCTGAATTAGTAATCATATAAGCAATTAGAGCTAAAATTTTATGCCGATACTAGGCTTAAATTAGTAATAATGTACCTTTTGTATAATGGGTGGAATAAGCGAGCCCACAATAATTTATTATTATTGAATAAACTGACTCAAGGCAAATATGCCGGTATAAAGTAGTAACAATATTTTATGCTAACGGTAGATACCTATATAAGGCAATACCGTGAATTATAGATAAATTTTATAATTTGTAACGACTCTTCCCATTAGTTAATGGAAGAATTTATGACAGGGTCATAAATTTAAAGGTCAGCAGCTAAAAATCATTCTTCTTTGAGATAAGAAATTTTTAGCTGATGGTATAGTCTGAACTAATATGAAAATATTAGAATAACATTTTGTAGCGAGTTGATAGTAGTAGCAAGGTTATAAACCCTAGCGAAAGCAACTAACATAATATGTGGTATAGTTACTATTATCAGACCCGAAACGCAGTGATTTATCCATGACCAGATTAGTAATTAGATCGAATGGTTCAATGTTGCAGTATTGTCCAATGAGTTGTGGATTGTAGGTGAAAGGCCAATCTGACTGCGAGATTGCTGGTACTCCTCGAAACATATTTTAGTATGACTTTTTGTTTATATTTATGCAGGTACAGCACTGATTATCACACAGGATTTCTATTTTTAGGAATAATGTACAATTGGGGGGTCGTTGAGACTTTATCATTGGTAATTAACCTCGGAACAACATAAATTAAAATACAAAAATTTCAGACTATTCATGATAAGGTGGATAGTCGAGACGGAAACAGCCGTGAACATAGAATAAGGTCCCAAAGTAATGATTAAGTGAAAATAAGGAAGTGGTGATTTGAAAACAACTATACAGTTAGCTTGGCAGTTGCTATCTTTTAATGAAAGTGTAACAACTTAGTAGTCTAGTGAATCATTGCACCGAAGATAAACGGGTCTTAGATCATTCACCGAAACTATGTCTATATTCTTTTTATTTATTGAAAAATTCTTTTCTCGTAAGAGGGAGAATAATAAATATATATAGGAAGAATGAAGGGTAGAGGAGCATTCAGTATGGTAGAAGAATAGTGTTACATTATTTGGACATTACTGAAGAGATTATGCTAACATGAGTAACGTAGAAAGAAGATATAATACTTCTCGCCGAATGCGAAAGGGTTGTTAAGCTATGTTAGACAGCTTGATAAATAAAACGGTCTCTAAGACTATGCGCAAGTAATTGTTAATAGTTGATGAGTATAAATTAGAAAGTCTTTGACCAAGAAAATATATCAGACAATAGCTTTATAATAGTATTTTCTAATATATAAATAGGTCGTGTTATACGTTATATTAGGATATTAGATTTATATAAATAAGATGATTTTCATTTTATTTTATATTTTTATAATAAAGATAAATAATTAACTTATTACTATTATTTAAAGTGTTTTTGGATTTACCGTACCCTAAACTGACACAAGTTCGTAGGTAGAGAATACTAAGGCGTAGAGATAATACTGTTCAAGGAACTCGGCAAAATGCGTCCGTACACTAGATAATAAGGACTACCTGGTTATAAAATAAATAGTAAAATAGCAGAAACTTGATTATGTCGAATAGACAGGCTTTAAGTCTATCATGGGAGATAATTATGGCCAGATCAATGTGGAGCTTTTGTATGTTGGGATTGATTTTTTCATAATATATTATTTTGAAATTTCAAAATAATATATTATTGCCTAACCTAAGGTTGAAAAATTAATGGATCAATATATACTATGGATATAATATAATAGGGTGACAGAAAATCGTGAAGCACAACTGTTTACCAAAAACACAGGTATCTGCTATGTTTAATGACATTGTATAGGTACTGAATCTTGTCCGATGTCATGGGTATAATACAGGTACTAAATATGGATATTTGTAGAAACTCTGATCAATGACAGTCTTAACTATAAGGATTTTAAGAGTAGCGAAATTCCTTGGCCATTAAATGTGGTCCCGCATGAATAGAGTAATGATGCTTCAGCTGTCTCAAACAGTATCTCAGTGAAATTGAATTAGCCGTGAAGATGCGGTTTAGGTGTGGGCAGACGGGAAGACCCTATGCAGCTTTACTATAGCTAGTCAGGGCTAAATAGAAATGGATGACAGACAAAAGGTACATGAATTTACAATAAATAGTTTAAATGAAAAATTTATGATATATAGAAAGTCAATTTTCGTATATCTGAATCTAACTTTAATTTGAAGTTTAGTTTAAATTATATTTATGTATAATTTAGGGCGATGAAAGACCATTAGAAGTTTTTATGAAGTTCCATTCCCATTTAGTGACAGGGATTGATGACTAGGTGGTAGTTTAACTGGGACGGTTTCCTCCAATAGAGTATCGGAGGACTTCAAAGGTATGTTTGTGTGAGATGGAAACTCATTTGTTATATATGACGAAACAAAACGTAAAGGTAAATGCATACTTAACTGCTAGACTGATAAGTCAAACAGATACGTAAGTAGGACTTAATGATCCGGTGATTCTTTATGGAAAGGTCATCGCTTAAGAAATAAAAGTTACGCTAGGGATAACAGGGTAATAGCTCTAGAGAGTTCATATTGTCAGAGCTGTTTGCCACCTCGATGTCGACTCATCTTCTCCTCCCGGTGCACAATCTGGGAAGGGTTCTGCTGTTCGCAGATTAAAAAGGTACGTGAGTTGGGTTCAATACGACGCGAGTCAGTATGGTTCCTATCTTCCACACCAAAGAATAATCAAATTTAGATGGATTCTTAGTACGAAAGGACCAGAATCTGCGTTTCCATGGTGTACCAATTGTTGATTTGACTTACAATACTATACTCTAGTGTAGAGCAAGTATTGTTTATATATGTCTAAAATCGGCATCGTTGGGTAGCTACAAACGTTAAGGATAAAAGCTGAAAGCATATAAGCTATTGAAGCCTACTAAAGGAGATTTACCACTATATAGGTGGATTATGTTAGAGATAGACTATCTCTTTAATAGGTCACGAGTGTACTCATTGTAAAATGTTTAGCTTAGTGATACTAATAACTGAAACTTACATTAACCATATTTCCCCTAGAGTATTTTTTAAGTAAATATAAATTAATTTATAATTAGAATTAAAATATGATATATGTTTTTTGATTTTTTTTTTTTTTTTTTTATTTTTTTTTTATTTTTTTGATTTTTTTGATTTAAGAGCTCTTAAATCAAGTTATTTATAATAGAATGTAGCCCGTTATCTGTGAAATAATGATATATACATGCTAGAAGATGATATTTGCTGTTTCGGTATGTATAGTAATCCTCTAGACTACAATAAATTTATAGATCATAAATTTTTGATTATTATGCCCCCCCCTCTCTCTTTTCCTCAGTTCAGATTCCTCGTCTCGAACACGTAGGAGGGATTGAATATATTGAGGAGTGGAATGAAGTATAGTATTCTTAAACATAATACTTTATAGATTTTTTGATATTTTCTATTAAAGATAGATTAATAGGAGTGGTTTATAAAAGGGGTATAAATTATGTTTGTTAATATGTAAGATTAATAAATGTATTAAAGGTAGAAGGGCTCACAAGTGGTTCTTGTACCTAAATTGCAAATTTGGGGAATAGAGTTCAATTCTCTATGAGCTCTAAAAAATAACTTAAGTGATAATATTTGTTAACTATCCCTAGGAAAAATAAAGAGAAAATATATATCTAGAAGGAAAATGAAATTATGTTAATATAGAGGGATTTACTTATACCATAAGATAAAAAAATTTTTTTTTTATATTATGACTATTTAGTTTTAATGAGTGCTTATAAATATTTTTAAATAATCTTTCATTTACTCCTGTTCTTTTGTGATTTATTAATTAAGTAGAATAAGAATCTTGCTCTAAGAATTAATATATTTAATATAAAAATATTAAATATATTAAAGGTATAAACTTAACGAAAGAGGCGTGATAAAAAATATAGGTTTTATAAAAGAAGTATATAAAGAAAGCATTAAAGTATTTTAGGATTAGTATAACTCAAAAAAATATATTTTCATATAATCAGTACCCCCCCCTCACTATTGATTATATCCATAAAGGGAAATAGTTATTTTTTATCGGTTAGTAAATTTAATTCTAAATATATAAAAAAATTGGGGTATAGTATAAAGGTTAGTATCTCAAATTCCAAATTTGATTGTGGTGGTTCAAGTCCATCTGCCCCAGAAAACTTTTCTAAAAAGACTATTCGTTTTCCTAGAATTGGTAATAAATCTGTATTGTATTTAATACATTAATACCTAATCAGGGTGTATAATTTATATTATGCATTAAAATGGCAAGAATAGATAATAAGAATAATTTTACTTACTTTGAATCATAAGTAGTAATATATGAAGTTGTTGTAGCTTAATAGGTAAAGCATAAAATATTTTTTATAATTTATATATCTTACTCCTAATAGTTCAAAACGGAAAGAATAGGATAATAAGAAATAATAAGACTATTTTCCACTCCCGGCCAAAGCTGGGTGTCTTTTAGATAATAGAAGTAGAGAAAGGAAAAATAAATTTATCTCTAGGTCTATTTATAAATAGAGGATTATTAAGAATTATTAAATCTCTCCCTAAGATAGTTAGGAGAGGCTTGTTATAAATAAAATAAATTTATTTTTGGATCTTGGTTCAAAACCAGCAACATACTATTTAGACAAAAGTCAACATAAGGCAGTTTTAACTCGATCTTTTGTATAGCGATTTTTAATTCTATTTTCTTTTTTTGACCTAAAATCTTGAGTATGAATTAGTTCTCTTGAAATAAAAATGAGAACAAAGTCAAGGATTTAAGATTTTTCTTATAAAAATAGATAAAATACATTATTAGTTAATAATGTATTTTTAAGGTTCTTTTTTGAGGGGGAGTTGAAGTTTATTGATTTGAGAGCTTTGGATAATATAAAAATATCTAGGTATTTTTAGATACATCTCATATAACAGAATTTCTTCAATTAAGGAATAAAAAGAATATTTAGAATATGTTAATTCAAATTCTAACTAGAGATATATCTATTGAACATAATTAAAATTAAAAATATATTATGAACACATTTTTATTAGATTTATTAGCATTTGGTGTATTATTATCAGGTGTTTTAGTAATTACTTCAAAAAACCCAATTATTTCAGTACTATTCTTAATTTCAGTTTTTGTTAATGCAGCAGGGTACTTATTATTATTAGGAGTAGGTTTCGTTGGTATTTCTTATCTTATTGTATATGTAGGGGCTATTGCTATTTTATTCTTATTCGTAGTTATGATGCTAAATATTAATTTAACTGAAATTGTATCAGTAGGACGAGAATATACTAAAAATTTACCTTTAGGTTTAATTGTAGGATCATTATTCCTTTTTGAAATCTTATCATTAATCCCATCATCATATAAAGAAGCAGGTGGATTACCTTTAGGATTATTTAATTACCTTAATAGATTACTCTTAGGTATTGATAGTTCATCAATTGGATCAAATGTTCATATGACATTCTCACAAACTGGAGCAGATGAAAGATTTAGAGATTTCTTACAAGTTGAATCAATTGGTCAAGGATTATATACATATGGATCATTATGGTTATTAGTTGCTAGTATTATTTTATTACTAGCAATGGTTGGACCTATTACATTATGTTTACGGTCATCTAGAGCAGTAAAATAATCCCCGTACAATTTTTAATTATTTATTCTTATATAAATAATTAAAGATGGGGTTTGTTTTACAATAAAAAGCTAGTCCTCGTTTAAAAAATTCTAATTTTTTAGGTCCATCGGACTCGAGCCGGGCATTTGTTAGATAGTCAAGGGATAAATAGGGATTATTATTTTTATATAATGTTTCTGTCTATATAGTTTTGGGTATCTTTGTTTGATTTCATGTCGGTTTACTAAAGATAAATGTATCTAGAAAATAGCAGAAAGAATAAGTTAATCCATTGTTTTTAATCTTATTCTCAAAATTAATTAGTAACAAGTAGTAAAAAGTCTTAAAGACGGAGATGTTATTAAAGGACTAGCTCCGTTATACACAACGGCCCTTGATAGGTAAAAATAATATGTAATATAAACTTTATAGTGTCATTGATTATTATCCTTACCAAGGGAGTAGATCATTTATGAGAAAAAATGTATGATAGTATCCTTTTGAAGGATAAGAAAATTAAGAGATAGAGGGAATATTTTATTTAGAGTGTAAAAAGATGTAGGTAATTAAAAGTGAGAATAAAAATAGTATATTATTAAAAAATAAAAGTTTTAATGTGTATAAAATTTATTCAAAAATCTATAAGTTAAAATATTAATTAAATTATATCCGTCCTGTGAAATTATGTAATATTAAAAAGGATAGGGTTGGTGTTGACTTATAATATAAAATATTTTTATTGACCACACAATATTAATCGGTTAATTAATAAAGAATATTAAAGGTTTATTATATATAAATAAAAGAAAAAATGTTAACAGCACTATTATTAATTCCTATGATTGGAACATTAGTAATTCTTCCTATCAGTGAAGAAACAAATCGTACACAGATTAAACAAATTGGTTTAATTAGATCATTATTAAATTTCATTCTTTCAATTGTTATTTGGGGTGAATTTGATTCAAGTTCATTACAATATCAATTTGTACAAGAATTTAATACTTTAGATTTTTGCCATTTACATATCGGTATTGATGGTATTAGTTTATATTTTGTACTTTTAACTACATTTATTACACCATTATGTTTATTATCTAATTGGGATAATTTAAAATTTGGTTATAAATATTATTTTATTGCTTTCTTATTAATGGAAACATTATTAATTGCTGTTTTCGTGGTATTAGACCTTATGTTATTCTATGTTTTCTTCGAAGCAGTATTAATTCCTATGTTCTTAGTTGTAGGTATTTGGGGTGGTTCTATTACACGAATTCGAGCCTCATTCTTACTATTCCTATATACACTAGCTGGTTCATTATTTATGTTATTATCTATTGTGGTTATTTATTACAATGTAGGAAGTACAGATTTTACTATTTTATCATTATCTGAAATTAGCTTTGAAAGTCAAAAAATTTTATGGTTAGGTTTCTTCTTATCTTTTGCAGTTAAGACACCGCTGGTTCCTTTCCATATCTGGCTTCCACGAGCACATGCCGAAGCACCTTTAAGAGGGTCTATTTTACTAGCCTCAGTATTCTTAAAATTAGCTATTTATGGTTTCCTACGAATTCTTATTAATTTCTTACCTGATGCTACTCATTATTTTTCTCCATTAGTACAAACAATCGCTATTATTACATTAATTTATTCATCATTAGCAACAATTCGACAATCTGATTTCAAAAGACTAGTAGCTTATTCATCTGTTAGACATATGGCAGTTGTAGTATTAGGACTATTCTCTAATACTATTGTTGGTATTGAAGGTGCTATTTTATTATCTGTTGCGCATGGTTTTATTTCTCCAGCTATGTTCATTCTAGTAGGAGGAGTACTATATGATGCTTTCCATACTCGAGTAATTCGATACTACCGTGGAATGACAGTATATATGCCTGTATTCTCTCTGTTATTCTTCTTAGCTACAATTGCCAATATGGGTATTCCATTATCACTTAACTGGGCTGGTGAATACATGTCATTAGCAGGAACATTCCAAAAATCTCCTGTTATTGGATTATTAGGTGCATCTGGTATTCTATTATCTAGTTGTTATGGTATTTTCCTTTTCAATCGAATTTCTTTCGGTAGATATTCACAATATTTAGGTAAAGCTAAAGATGTATCTCGACGAGAATTCATGATGTTAATTACTTTAATTGGTGTAACTTTTGTATTAGGAATTTTCCCTAATATCATTCTAAATGATCTACATGTAGCTGTTACAAGTTTACTTTATACAGCACCATCTTTATCTTAATTATCCCCGATGTGTATTTACCTGTATTATATTTATCTATACTTTGACTTTAATAATTTAGCTTTTCTGTTATTTATATGTTTAATTATTTTTAATATTAATAATCTTGATAAGTTGAAATAAATCATATAAAAGTACCCTTTTCGATAAATAACATAAAGATAAATATATCTTACTTTATTAGTCAATATATGGGCCATTATTCAGACAGAGAAATGTTTATTTTTGAGGCAAAATAAAATAAATTAAAAATTTAATATCGTATAATCTCGGGGATTATTTTGTTTCTGATTTATTAACTGATGGTGATAAAACTAGAGCACAGAAGAAAATTAAGAGTAATCCAATATCACCTCCTAATGTTGATTCTAATGAACTACCTAATAAGATAGGTGCAAATAATAGGAATAAGAATGTAATTAATCCTAAAATAATGTATAGTGCATAAGTTGTAATAACACCTGTGTCATAGCTGGCAATATTTCGTCCTGTATTATTTAGTACATTACTTACTCCAAAAGGACCAACTAATTCTAAGATACCTCGATCAATTACTTTAGAAATAGTATGTCCTAACCGTAATCCTCCAGTAATGATAAATACGTTATAAACATTATCAACTAACCATTTTCCGTTAAGGAATTTGTAAATAGCTTTACCTAATGTATTATTAGTTAAGTTAATTGTAAATAATGGTGTTACATGGTATAAATATACGGCTGATGCTGCACCAAAGAGACTACCGATACCTGGTAATAATTTTAATGCTAATGGAATACCGAATTCTGCTTCAATTAGTGAAATATGGTTAGGGTGTTGGAATAATGCTGTTGACAGGAAATCTGTACCTACACCTACAAAGGCATCCTTAGCTACGTAACCGAAAGCGATAGATAGAATAGATAAAATAACTAATGGAATTACAATAATCATAGGTGCTTCATGTGCATGTAAGTAGTCACCTTTAGGCGCATTTCTTGTTCCGAAGAAAGTTAATGAAATTAGTCGGAATGAATAGAATCTTGTAAATACCGCGGAAATTGTTCCTAACCAGTATGCTAGACTACCTGATACTTCATATTGTCCTAATGCAACTTCTAGAATTAAATCTTTACTATAGAATCCTGTTAAGAATGGGAAAGCCATTAAAGATAGAGATCCAATTAAGATTGCTGTATATGTAAATGGTAAGAAATTAACTAATCCTCCTAATCGTCGCATATCTTGTTGATCAGCCATTCCGTGAATTACTGCACCAGCGGCTAAGAACAGAAGAGCTTTGAAGAAAGCGTGGTTAACTAAGTGGAATAGTGCTGCATTGTATTGTGATAAACCTACCGCCATGAATAAGTATCCCATTTGAGACATTGTAGAATAGGCAATTACTCGTTTTAGGTCATTTTGTAGTAGACCTGTTGTTGCGGCTACGAATGCTGTTAAAGCACCTACCCAAGTAATTACAACTAATACTGTAGGTCCATATTCAATAATAGGTGAAGATCGTAACATTAAGTATACTCCTGCAGTTACTAGTGTAGCAGCGTGAATTAAGGCAGATACAGGTGTTGGACCCTCCATTCTATCTGGAAGCCATGTATGTAAACCGAATTGAGCTGATTTAGCCATAGCACCAATTAGTAATAATAGACCAATAATAGTAATGGCTGTTTCGTTAATATATGGAGCAATTCTGAATACTGTAGCATAATCAACATTACCAAATACCCATAAAATAGAGAAGAAACCAACAGATAGGAACATATCACCAACTCGGTTAACAATCATTGCTTTCATACCTGATTTATTTGCTTGGATTCGAGTATACCAGAAGTTAATTAAAAGATATGATGAAACTCCAATACCTTCCCAACCTACGAATAAGATTAGATAGTTATCTCCAGCAACTAGTACAAGCATGAAGAAAGTGAACATTGAGAGATATGAGAAGAATCGTTGGTTATGAGGATCTTCTGCCATATATGATACTGAGTATAAGTGAACTAATGAAGAAACAACTAGGACTGGTAATAACATAGAAACTGTTAATGAATCAAATAAGAATCCCCAATTTACTAATAAGAATTCTGAATCAATCCAACTGAATAATACAATAGAAACAGGAGAACCACATAGACCTACTTCATAAAAAGCAACTAATGATAATAGTGCACTAGCCATTAAAGCTCCTGTTGTAACGATATGTGCTCCTGTCACTCCAATTTTTCGTCCTAATAGTCCAGCAACTGCTGAACCAAATAAAGGTAAAGCTAGAATAGATAAATACATTATGTTCGTAATGAAATATTTCCTCGTAATCGGTAATAAGCTACCAGAATACCTAAACCAATAGCACTTTCAGCACCAGCAATTGCAATAATGAATACAGAGTAAGTTTGTCCTAAGATATCATCAAATTGATATGAACTAATTAGAACTAATAAAGTTACAGCTAATAACATCATTTCAATAGAAATAATCATTAGAATAATGTTTTTTCGGTTTAGAATGAAACCTAAAATTCTAATGAGAAATAATACTAGTGATAATGTCATAATTAAAAATAATCCTTATGGTACCTGAATATTATTAAAATTCAATTAATATTTATTAAATAATTAATTCCTTTTATTACTGTAAGATAGGATGTCTTAAGATATTAACTTTGGGAACTTCTGGTTTATATAAAACGTTTGCGTGGATTTAAGAAGATTTAAAATAATTTAACTAACCTCTTATTTATATATATACATAAAGGTAGCTTAAAATCTTTTTAAAAAATAAAATAATCTTTTTATACCCAGATATTATTAGACTATATAAAATTAATAATATCAAGAAAAAGTTTATAGGAGTACTAGAATTGAACTAGTTAAGGTAAACCACTCTCCCTTATATATTAATAAATATATTATTATATCATTTATTATTTAGAAAAGTTCATGTTAAGTTTTTTATATCTTTTATTATAATATAATTAAATAACTATATTTAGGTATTTATAATAAAATATTTAAAATTTAAATTTTTTATTTTTAAGTTTTACTCAATATTTACTCTATTTTCAGTCTCTAATATGATATAGTCATATTAGATAAAATAGTATAAAGTAAATTTTATTTATTATTAATATAAGTTTATGTTAATTTGTTTAAGCTATATTTCGAGATGAAGGGGACTCGAACCCCCATAGACCACCTTGACAAAATGGTGTCTTAACCAATTAGACTATCATCCCTTTTTAGTTACTTTTATATTAATCCCTCTTTCGGTCTTTTAGTCCAATATCTTAAGAGGACTCTTGAACTGAAGGGTAAGTTATATTACTTAAAGTTTAACTCTTCGGAGTATTTATAATTTTTATTTTATACATACTGTCTTTCTGTAAAAATAGATTATTTATGTGCTCTTTCACTATCTTATAAATATTTGATTCAAACCGGAAGTATAGGATGTAGAACTAGATTAATAGCACAAGTACTTTTATATAATTAATGTAGTTTTTAAGTTTATATATATAACATAGCTATGATAAAATAAAAATAGAGTCTTAGCAAAAGAAATAGTAAGATTAAAAGTGAAAATCGCTAATATACCTTTTGCTTTTAGCAAAAAAGAGATTATTCTTATATTTACATAGAGTAAAGGTATTTATTTTAGTGTTAATGTATATTTTTTTTTTTGTATAATATGTTTTAGAGGGGGTATGACATATTGGTTGTGTGGGAAATTTCTATTTTCCTTAAATCAGTTCGATTCTGATTACTTCCAGAAACTATACTAAATAGAAAAAAATTTTTTTTTTTTGAATTCTTATTTATGGTAAAGCATATTTCTTTATATAGGTACAACGTTGATGTAAGGGTGAATTTAGTAATTAATTAAGGGGTGTATAATATTTTGATATCCGAATAAAAGAATAACTAATTTAAAAGAAAGAATAGCTTCAAAAATTTTGAAACTAAATTCTCCGGTTATATATTAAATAAACGTAAACTAAAATTTAGCAAGCAAGTTTGTTACATATTGAGTGTTGCAATACCCAATATGTATAGCAAATATATTAAATAAAAAATATTATGACAATTTCAGCGCTTAAAAAACAATTCCAACCACATCCATATCATATGGTTGATATTTCTCCTTGGCCCTTATTAACTTCATTTTCAGTATTAACATTAATGGTTTCTGCTGTATTATATTTTAACAGATTAGAAAATAGTGGTATTTTATTAAGAATGGGATTCCTTACAACATTCTTTGCTTTTGTACTATGGTTCCGAGACATTACTACAGAAGGTACATACTTAGGAGATCACACACTAGTTGTACAAAAAGGTTTAACAATGGGTGTAGCTTTATTCATTGTAACAGAAGCTTTCTTCTTCTTAAGTATTTTCTGGAGATACTTCCATTCTTCACTATCACCTACAGTTGAATTAGGTAGTCATTGGCCTCCTGCTGGTATTGAAGCATTAAACCCTTTTGCTATTCCATTATTAAACACAATTCTACTATTATCAAGTGGAGCAACAGTTACATATGCTCACCATGCATTAATTCAAGGAGATCGAAAAGCTACATTATTAGGTACAACTATGACACTAGTTTTCGCTCTTCTATTCACAGCTCTTCAAGGTGTAGAATATGTAAATGCAGGTTTCACAATTGCGGATGGAGTATATGGTTCATGTTTCTTCTTTGGTACAGGATTCCATGGATTCCACGTAATTATTGGAACAGCTTTCATTGGAGTAGCTTTCTTCCGAATTATTGCATACCACTTAACAGATCACCATCACTTAGGATTTGAATCATCTATTCTATATTGGCATTTCGTTGACGTAGTGTGGTTATTCCTATATGTAAGTATTTATTGGTGGGGAAGTTAATTAATACCCTCTATAAATATTATGCTCGAAAGGGTGTATGATTAGAAAATCCAATTAAGACATGTACTATTTTTTAATATATATTAGTATATGTTTAAACATTGTTCCCCGATAAGCACAGGGCTATTTCTTAGCAAAATTATTAAACCTATAGAAAAGGTGAATAAAAGATCAAAGATTATATAAATATGATAAATAAATATATATACAAGGTACAAGAATATGTTTAAGGACAAAAACTTAAATAAAATATTTTATATATCATTTCATAGTTTAATATAAAATAAACTTAACTAAGTTTATTTTATTGACTAATAATGCTTTTTACTTCTTATAAAAGTGAAAAAAGAGTATTTAAGTTTTTAAAAGAAGGAAAATATATAAACTCTCATAATATTCTTCTATTAAAGTAGAGGTAACGGTTAATGCGATAGTTTTTTCTAATTTTTAG